TGGAAGACATTATTTATTTGTGCCTTAAGCCATGTTGGATACATTAAAAGTCAAATATTAAAATGTTCTTTGTTCTTTGCTAATCATGTATCCTATTAAATTTCAAAAATTGGCATAGCTCAGTGTATTCAATGGCTAAATTTTGTTTTGTTTTTCTTTTATCAATATGAAAATTCAAATAATAATTATTTTGGCAGATATCAAAGACATTCCTTTGACTTAGAGTAGTTTTAGTTTAATAGGTTGTTATCACTTGCATTCACAAGCTAATATGGAATAACTAACTGTGTCTAGGGTCAAATAAAATAAAATTTCAATTCTAATTCTGATTCACATTAATCTTTTAAGAAAGAACAGTGTACTTCAAATTTAAATGCAGAGCAACAGTGAATATTTGAAATACATATTAAATTTTGTACAAAAATCCCAAGTATCCCACGTGTGTCTAAACAACTCAACTCAAAATGAATTTTAATTTCCCAGATATATCAAGTTTCTGATGTAAAGTCCTTCCCACATTGTTTACTTTTGAAATTATTCTTAAATAAAAATAAATGCATTGTTTAGCCTCCCACATATTATTACTTCTAATTTATTCTCTCTATTAGGAGTATACTCATGGCGACATAGCCTTTTACCTTTTTATGAAATCCATTTAATTTGCATCCACTGAATCATTTTTAAAGTTGAATCCTGGTAGAACTGCAGTACATTGAGCAATGCCAGAAGGTGAAGATGATACTGATGCAATCTGTTCTTCATTTCTGCCACCACACACAGCAGAAGTTACTTTCTATAAGTTTATTAGGGAATATTTTGTCCATATGCTCTCAAAGTTAAAATTTAAACAAATTACCAAAATAAAGTTCTGTAAAATGTATAACTTGTGTGATTGGAGTACATGGCCACAGTATCATTACAATGGCTTAATTCTTTACCAAATGTAATGACTAATGCTTGCTGGGGGGCTATGGCACCCTCACGGTGTGTTTGCCTCCAAGCTGCCCATTACAGAACACAGAGAATACAAACATGAGCAACACTATATCTATCTGAATGTGAGGTGTCAAATTTAATCTCTCAATTTAGTGAAAAAATTCTGAATTTCTAGGGAGAGTTTTTGAGCTAAGTCGTAGGTATTCTTCATGTCTGGGGTCATCTTTTTCATGTTTGCAAATAAGTTTATATCCCTGTACAACTCAGATGCTGAAAGAAAAAATATTATTTAGAAAACATGTTTTGTTTAGATTTATGCTTATTTTTTAAACTATTGTACACCTAAACTTAAGAATTATTTCTGTGTTTCCTGTCAGAAAGTAAAATTAATGCACAGCTTTCAACATTATTATGTCTAAGTCTTTTCACACTGAAGACGCTGTTGGAACTGAATGTAACCCCCATAGTTGAGGTGTCTCAGAATGGATAATGTGGAAAACTGCATCGGGAAATAATGTGTCAAAAGATAAGCTGCAAAGAGGAGTAGATTTCTAGTTGTAATGTGTTGCTGATCAATTTCTAGTTGTGAAACTGCTGCTGGATCAATGAAATTGATACTGCTCTTTGTGAAGCTTTTAAGGACATAGAAGTATGTTTTAAATGTCTCCCTACTTGATAATTTAGGCAAGATTCTATAGAGGCTGAGAGCATAATGGCAGCACAACTTGGAGAATATATATCAATTGGAGGCTAAAGTGATGAGTCTGGTTGCCAAATTTTTAATCTTAGCACAGAGATTTGAACACTTGGATCCACATGTCTTAGACATTGAAAATAAGAATTTGCTAGAAGCGTGCTTAGCTACAAAATATTTTGAGTCATTGAGAAACAAAAGCATACTTATGAGCAAGTTAGCCAATATTAGGATGTATAGACCATTCATCCAAAAAAAAATACTTCATCTCATAGTCTAAGATGCTATCAAATTGAGATGGGTTTCTAGTTATTCTTTTAAAAGTTTTATTAATTAAATTTATTCATTAATTTTACATCCTGACTGCAGTTCCCCTTCACTTCTCCCGCCATTCTCTCCCTACCCTGCCCCACCCCAGCCCTGAATTCAATCCTCCTCTCTTTCTGTTCAGAAAAGGGTAGGCTTCCCATGGTATTAGCAAAGCATGGCATATAAAGTTCAAGTTGAGGAAAACCTGAACCCCTCCCCTCTTATTGAGGCTTGGTAAAATAACCCAGTAAGAAGAATAAGTTCCCCAAAGTCTACCAAAGTGTCAGGGACTAGTCCTATAAGTAGATCAAGAAATGCAGCTGTCACTCTTATGTAGAGGGCCAACGAAGATTCCATGTGGGCTCCTTAGCAGTCAGTCCAGAGTCTGTGAACTCCTATGAGCCCAGGTTTGTTGTCTCTGTGGGTTCCTTTGTGATGACCTTGACATCCCTGGCTTATACAATCCTTCTTCTCTGTCTTCAACAGGATTCTTGGAATTCTGCCCAGTGCTTGGCTGTGGATCTCTGCATCTGCTTCTATCTGTTACTGGACAAAGGCTCTCTAAAGACAATAAGAATAGTCATTAATCTAATTACAGAAGATAGCCAGTTCAGGCTACCTATGCACTATTGTTAAGAGTCTTAGCTGGGACCATTCTTGCAGATTCATGGGAGTTTCCCTTGCACTTGGTTTCTACCTGACCCCCAAATATGACATCTCTTTCATTATTCTATCTTTCTCTCCCTCCCAGATTACTCAGGAGATCTCTTCTATTTTATCCTCACAGGGAAATCTGTGTATCTCTATTTGGGCCCTCCTTGTTACCTAGACTCTCTGGGGCTGTGGATTGTAGCGTGGTTATCCTTTCCTTATAGTAAATTTGAAGACAAATAGATGGAAATAGAAAAAAAAGTCATTCTGAGTGAGACACCCCAGACCCAGAAAGACAAACATGATGTGTGCTGCCTCATAAATGGATATTAGCTGTAGATTTTCTAAATACTCTTAAGAAAGAAAACCATGCCAGCCATACAATCTCACTGATCTGAAGATGAATGGTAACTTTACAGAAGTTAAAACTGTGTTCATTTCATGATTACCAAAATATTTTATTGTTCATCACTACCAAGTTTTGACATCAGGATAATAGGTTAAAAATTAAATTTTAGTAAATGATTCAATTAACTAATCTCATTTTATTTACACCAAACACTTGGGGCCAAGAATTTTAATAGGCATCTGTTTTTATTATCCTCCAAATTAAGGACTTTAAGACAATAATTTATTATTTCACTTTGTTCAGTATATTGATCGGGCTCAGCTGTGCAATTCCCATTTAAACTTGGGACCTCTTGTGTGGTTTCAGTCAAATGCTGGCTGGAGCAACAGTCAAATTAAGGCTCAGTTGAGCTGAATTTCCAAGATTGCTCATTCATAAGTTGGCACTCAATGTTGGCTATTGGCTTAAAACTCATCTGTGCCTTTCCTCAGTGGTGTGTGACTTGGCCTTTCTGAGTGGCTTAGGCTTCTGTAACACACAGACCCAGTTTCACTCACTGCATTCCAAGAGGCCCACCTGAAGGCACACAGCTTCTTCTGCACACAGTGCCACATCCACCATACTCGATGCCCAAGAGAGTACACCACAATCAGCTCACAGATGGGGGAGGGGGACAGTGGGAAGATGAGATGATCAGGAAATATGGCTCATTGGAGCACCCTCTTAGGAACTAGCTACCACAACAATTTTACGTACTGGCTACCTAAAAATATATTTCTTCTTTTGGTGTCCCACAGAAACCAATCTACAGATTGATTGCTCCCCTGAAAAATGAGCTGTCTACAAAGTATTTTCCCCATTGTTGCTTGCTTACAGAGCCATTTTCTTTTCAGACCTTTTTGCCAGTGAAACATCCTGGGATTCCCATAGTTCCTTTACTCCTCTCCCAAGCTATATACTCTCATGTTATATCCATTTTATTCCCTGTACAGTCCCAGACAGCTAATACTGGGAAAGGGAATGTTATTTAGTTGAGAAACTTCAAAGCATGCCTAAGCATCACATCAAGCAATTATTGATGAGTTGCTACATTCTGTAATGTGCAGAATGATTTACCATTGCTATCTAGATAAATTTCTGACCATTCTGACTATGCCTCAGGTGCTAGGATGCTTATTTTCACAAGGAATTGATGCAGAGATGTAAAAACTTTAACAAAACTAGAACTCATGCTATAGAACTATATCAGATGGTTCTTCCTGGAAACATCTCAAAATAGTTACTTGGGTTTTGGTTCAATTGATGCTGAACTCTTCTTTCTCCCACACTATTCAGTCCCTCAGTTGCTTTGGAAGTTGACCCGAACCTACAGTATGGTGCCTGAGCCACAAGCAAGTCCAGGGTATCAGGAAAAGAAAGACAAGATGTCCAGCTGCTTGTACTAAGAGACTGCATGTGTTGCCTTTAATGCCAGGAGAGAGAGAGAGTGTGTGTGTGTGTCTTTATTGCAAGTGCTAGGAGGTCTCTCTCTTGTAGGAGGGAGCAGTCTTATATATACAGGCCTACAGCACAGTGGACAAACCCCAGGTGGAAGAGAGCGTGTTTTCCTTGTGCTAGATGTTGATGTCAGTGGGGCAATGCGGGGGCAGTAAGCCAGGACTAGAAAATATGATGCACTTGTGGCTATCAGCTGACAAACAACTCAGAGACCCTGTGGAGGCTAGGCCCCAACATACAGAAATGAGAGTTGTCAATTAGGAGGTATCAAGTGGGAGAACCAGGGATGAGAAATAAAGAAAGCAAAACTAAAGAAGAAAGAAACTGTCGCGCCCGCCTCGACCAGCAAGGAAGACACACTGCCCAGACTCTTCTTTAAGCACTTTATTCAGGAACCTTTGAACAATCTTCTTTTCCCGGGGAGCGCCAGGGAGCCCCAACCCACAGCTTAAAAGCCCTTGGGCGGCCAACCCCAGTATGCCACGTGGAACATGCAGATAGGTCCACGTACGTGGAAGCAAGCCTGATATCCAGCCTTAACCAAATACAGGTGTTGTTTATTATAGAGAGCACCTGCTGTCGGGCTAGCAGAAGGCAGAAGCCAGCACCATCTTAAGGGTGTGGCACTTTGCAGCTCTCTACAAGAAACAATAGCTGAGATCAGAACATCTTGTGTATGCTGACGATTTATGCTAGGTAAGCTTATTAATAAGTACAACGTTCTATATACTGTTAGCATGGAATGGGGAAATGGCCAAGAGAGCTAAATCTGATAATGTTGGTAAAGAGAACATAGGCTACCTTTGGTACAGCTTCTTTGGGACTAACTTCCACAGCCAGGGGTAAAGTTGGGCACCTAAAAACTGTAAACTTGACTCCTCTAAGGTACTAGTTCCAGCCTCAGACTGGCCTTGCCAAGTCTCTTTCTATACAACGACACAGAAGAAATTGCCAGTTGTCCATCTATCAGATCTCTGAGAAAGACTTGGGTTGGTCTGGCTCCCCACAGGAAGGTAAGTCTTGATTCCTACTGATACTATTAAAAGTTCCTATTTCTTACCTTATAGGTACTCACATGCTTGAATCAGCACTGGCTTGCTTTGAGCATTTGCTTGATGCCTATTTCTAAGATTCGGTTCTCAACATCTTTGTGTGTTAAAATGATAAGCCCAGAATAATGTTATCATCAATGTATCTCTTTCCATAGTGTCTCAGTTGGCCACAGGAACAAGCTTTCCCACCCATAACTAGCAACAGAGTTCTGACCCATAGTTTAGTGTTCAGCTCCCTCCTGTCTATCTGTCATGACCTAACTTCAAGCTTATAGATTATTTTGTGTGGGCAATGGTCATACCCTGTCTCTATCACTCAAGATTGTATGTAATCTGAGGTTGTGTTAAAGTGTTTTTTGAAGACTTCACGTTGGGGGCCTATATCTCTTCCTACAGTAAAGACAATAAATCACTTCTTGGGGTAGAGAAGACTTGCCCTCCCATTGCTGCAGTGAGAGAAAGCATGGACAGCTCTTCCCAGCACTGTTCTCAGGATGTTCAAATAATCTTGAGAGGAGAGAGAACCGAGCCTTGTCTTTTGGTTCTTGATTCCAATATGTCGAACTTAAAGCATGACCCATTCTGAGCTTTGCAATAGTATAATGCTGCATCCATAGAAAGGATTTAATGCTAATATTATAGGACTTTTCATGAAATCTTAGTGTTTATCTCAAAGATGATAGTACCTAGAGAAATGAAGCTCATTTATTCCACACAGCTTTATACAGTGTTTTTTCTGGACTTCTTTGCCTTTTGATTAATTGTAATGGCAGGATTTTTGTTGTTGTTTTTAGTACTTCTTCATGTTAAGGAAAAGACATGTAGAATTTCGGTGAAATTTGTCAAAGAGAGTTGAGTATGATGTAGGGATAATAAAAATGTGTGCTTTTTAAGTGATTTGCTGGTAGACACCTGGAATCCTAGTGCCCTGGAGGTGGAGGCAGGAGATCAGTTCACTGCAGCCTTGGGTATTTACATAATCAGTTTGAGGCCAGTTGGAGTTGCATTAGACTTTGTTTCAAGCAAGCAAAAGAAAAAGAAAACAAACAAAGGTTATTCTGATGAAAGTCATCAAAAAAGATGAAGAGGGCCCCATCCAGAGGAATCAGTTTTACACACAGTAGGGAGTGGAAAAGGCAGCCTAGTGCACTTACAGGATGAGGAATTGTAAGCTTGTTTGGACCTGGGAAAGTGTGGGTAATGAGAGAGTTAGTGTTAGAGACACCTATGTTAAGTATTTAAACTTTGTCCTGACATCAGGGGCCAGAGGCATCCCATAAGGGTTTTTCCATTTGGGAAGAAAGAAAAAGAAGCTTGTCAGTGAATGAATAAATGCATCTCTTGAGTGACACTTGGACCAGGAGTTTAGGAGATGGGAAAGACTATAGTGATGGAAAACAAAATGGTCACCACAGGTGTTTTCTTGTCATTTAATTGATGAGCTGGTTGACTGGTTGAGGGGCAGTTATTCCTTTGAAAGATTTTTGTACACTCATCCAATGAAAATATAAAATGCTCTTGCTCATGTCATTAGAAGTGGAAAAACAGACATATCTGATAGTATGGAGTTCATGTGTAAAAATGAATATGTACAACTACATAAATATGCATATATATGAATATATATTACTATGTATGTATCACTTTCCTATGGCTGATCCTTGTATATAAAAAAAGCTGTAAGGTTTACATATTGATCCATTCAGTATGTATTTAGTGCCTCTGTGTATTAGGGACCCTGACAACTTGTGAGTGTATTGTGACAGGTACAGAGGCAGGCAAGATCAATCAAGGTGCATGATATAGGTCATGTTAAAGGTTAAGAGTTGCATGCTTTGTTCAGAGACAATGAAAATCATTGTAGAGTTTTAATTAAGAATTCCATGTGATCATATTTGACTTTTTAGAATCATTCTGGCTGTAGTGAAAAGAATGAGTTGACTGGCAATACTATATTGAGTTTTCTGTAAATAAAAGGAAAAGAACAGATTTCACTTGCTCACCCACTATCATGATGGATAAATTTCTTCCCATTCAAGAAAACATTTTATGTGCATACACAGGCAAAATTATATATACATACATATGTATATACTGTGTGTATGTGCACTTGTGTGCTATGAAAGAAGATATTCTCAAATTTTCATAGTTTCCTGGGTTGAAAGACAGTATCATATACTTGAAATTTATTATCAACAAATCAGTTTTTGGTTCTTGACTGATTTGCATCCAGACTCAAGAAAAAAATAACTTATGAATATGTTTATCCTACTGTGGGCTAGACTTCTTAAAGGCTAAGATGTGAAAAGATTGACTAAGTGAATTTATCAACAAATATGATGTTTCTGTGTCTTGGACTGTAGTCTTTTCTCCTCTGAGTATAATATCATGTTTATCCATGTCATATAGTTGGTAGAAAAAGCCCATTTTTTGTGGAAATAATTAGACACACCTTTGTTTTCACTGCTAAGCATTTTTTCATTTACATCTCATGCAAGTAGAGTGTTAAAACATTTTGTTTGTATAATATTATGCAAGGAAATATCTTAATACAGCTCTGACTGTATTAAAATGCCTTATGTGCCATATTGCTCAGATGACATGTTTATGAATGTGTTTTTAAAGCTCCATATGCACAAATATGAAATACAAAGTTTTCCTCCAAATACTAAGAATGCAGCTCATTCCACATTTGCTGGTTTAGAGTGCTAACATTTATCTGCATCTCCACATCCCAAGATTTGCAAATGAGATAATTCTGTTGCAGTATGTCGCCAAGTATAAACAGCTGGCTCTATTTGGCGAGCAGACCGTCATCTGAGCATTTAATGCAGCCTTTTCTCTAGGATGTCTTTTATCATCGGAATTTAGGGAGGGACAGTGGCTTGGCATGCTTCAACTCTGCTGTTCTCTAGGAGCTTACTCTTTGAAAACGATAAGAAAGGACATGAAAGGACAGGGCATTAAAATTAAGCATTGCATCTAAAATCTTACGAACCTAGAAGATGGTCATTTTAGTGAAACACTCTGAAATTTCAAATAGGCCATTTAATTTAATGACAATCACTTTTTTATTTAATATTTTTTATTTAAATTAGAAACAAATTTGCTTCACATGTCAATCCCAGCTCCTTTCCCTTCCCTCCTTTCTCTCCCCCACTAGCCCCCCTCCAGTCCCCCTACCCAATCCCCACTTCAGTTCCTAGGAGGGTAAGGCCCTCTATGGGGGATCTCCAGAGTCTGTCATTTCATGCACAGCAGGGCCTAGGCCCTCCCCATGTGTCCAGGCTGAGAGAGCATCCCTCATTGTGGGATTGCAACCTAAATTCCATTTTGTTTGTTTGTTTGTTTTGATTTGATTTTTCGGGACAGGGTTTCTCTTTATTGTTTTTGAGACTGTCCTGGAACTCGCTTTGTAGACCAGGCTGGCTTCGAACTCACAGAGATCTGCCTGCCTCCGCCTCCCGAGTGCTGGGATTAAAGGCATGTGCCAACAACACCCGGCTCAAAGTCTATTTGTATGCCAGGGATAAATACTGATCTACTACCAAAGGCCTCATAGATTGCCTAAGCCTCCTCACTGACACCCACATTCAGTCCCATGCTGGCCTCCCAGCCATCAGTCTGGGTTCTAAAAGCTTCTACTTCTTCAAGTCAGCTGTTTCTGTGAGTTAAACCAGCCCAGTCTTTTGAGTCATGGTATACATACAGATATAGGAAAGATGAAACAGTTTTACCCCCAGCATGGTATAATACACAAATACAACAACAACAAATTTCCCTCTGGGTCCCAAAAATCCAAACTAGAACATAACTGTCATTGTTCCTCAGTGGAAATTTAAATCTCTGTTGACCACCATTCATGTTATTGTCATGTAGCATGTAACTCTTGTCTTAAAGTTTTGTTTGTTTCTTTGTTTCCCTGATGTCAAGGCAAGTGCTGATACATAGAACTATCTGCAAAAAATGGAAATTGCCTATGCTGGCCAATATTCTATTTATGGTGACCAGTATCTACCAGTAGTTATTGAGCATAGAAAATACTGTGATTGCAAGTGAAGGAATGATTTTCAAATTTAATATAAATTCACAGAAATATCTTCTCATAGGCATGGTACTCACGGCTAGCTGATAGGACAGGAAAGTATAGGTCTAAAATGAGGGACAGCATTATGGAACTGGTCCTACAGTCACTTTGGACCTTGCATCAAAAGAAGCAGGAAGGATGAGAGGTACTTGGAGCAAGAGTGCCACACTTCATTGTCACTTTTGCCTGGACGGGTGACGAGAAATCTGAGAAGACTCCAGAGAAACACCAGTCACTAGAAAGATTCCCTCAGAAATGATGTTAACCTATCTGAGGAACATATTTTAGCTACCCAAATTAGCAATAATCATTACCTTTATGGGAGCCAAATGCTTCACAGGGGAAAATATGGTTAGAAGCAGATCTACAGCTTCTGTTTCAGTGTCTCTTGATGACATTTAAGGTTTGTTTGTGCACCATAATTATGAATTATTTACCCTATTACAAATACGATAATAATAGCCTTGAGCTTCCTGGATTCATTTCAATAGTGAAGGGTAAGTTCATACTGTAAAACAATTTTTATATACTATTTCTATGTTATTTTCCTTCAAAAAATGTTAAGCCAGATGGGATGGTGTGTTCATTGCAACATTCAGGAAGCCGAGGCTGAAGGATTATATAGTTGAGATCAGTCTGGGCTACAAAACAGGACCTGTTTTCAGAAACAGATAACACCAAGAAAATAAGAGAATAAACAACTTAAGTGGGAAAAAAACTATCGAAAATTGCATGATAGTAATACATAAGAAATGGACTAAACTCAAATATAAAATTAAAACAATTCATGGTAGATAAGGTTCTTAACAAATCACAACTACTAAAATAAGCATGAAATATTTATTAAATAAAATTTGTTGCCATAAAATCCAGTGTTTTGTTATCAACATACAGTATGTCTGACCCTATGGTGGTTTGTAAAGAAAGTGTACCCTTTAGTAAACCTATAGACTGGATATGATTACCTTCAGTTTGCAGATAAAGGTGATATGTTTTAAAGATTGGAAATAATTTTCCTCAATTCATTGCACCAAACAGTAGAGTGACCAGAATCTGGCTTAAAGTTTGCAAAAATCCATTTTTTTATCCAATTAAATGGAAAGTGCAGAAAATAGAATTGATTTTATCTGGGTTTAAACAAAGTATAAATGTATTCTGTACACAATGAGTTTAGTCAAGGAGACAAACAGACATCGGGAAATCTGAATTCTCATGCAGTAAGCACATACACATCTCCAGGCATCATAGTCATAGAATATGCTATATTACTTTTTTGTGTAATTTGATCATAACACATCAAATCTATGACCACAAATTCAAGTATATTCCTGCTGTTGTGATCCTAGAAAAATCTGCAGAGTAAAGAGTGCTGCATGGTCTTGTCATTTAGGCTCTGATTTGCCTCAGTAAGCTGGAGGGCTCCTCCTGGGCAAGGACCAACTTAGCCATGTATGTGACTGCGTCTTGGAAATCAATGCAGAGCTACTGAAGAAATACTTCCTCTATTCCTTGTGACAAGAAGCCTCTACCACAACCTTGAGCAAGAGTTGCAGAAGCTTTGTGAAAAGTGAAAGGCCAGTATTTACTTTTGGTGCTGAAAGTGAGTCCTAAAGCTATGGACAATTCCTTCTACTGATGAAGTGTATGCTTCATTGTGAACCTAGTAAGTTTGAAAAATACAGAACTGAGACCAGGACACAGTTTGTGTTGTGGATGTTGTTTCTGTTCTTCACCATTTTGGAAATTTGATTTGATGGTTAACATAGTTATGGATTTGGGCTGTCAACTATCTTAAACTATGTTCTAGTGGGAGGTCACTTCTGGCTGTTCATTTGGAGGGATTATCATTATTTAATTTACACAATGAACAGACTTAAGAAGAAGAATGTAGAATCAACATTGTATTTTTTGATTGAATTGATAAGGTCTCTTTCTACAAATTTTCCTGTCTGACAAAGGAAAGCAAATGACATTGTGTCACCGAACATTGCTCTCCATTTAAGCTCTGCTTGCCTGGATTACAATTTCACTCAGTTTTGATTTGTTGCCTATTTCTGAATCAATGACATATATTTCTTAATCTTTATGACTATGTATTTACTGTACAAATCAGGACACTAAACTATGTTTATAGTAAAGTTCAAATGAAACACAGAATTTGAAAGTAAACAGTTAAAATAAAGGAGTTAAAGACTATTCTTTTTATAACTTTGCGAGAAGAGAGCAGTACCAGAGTTGCAAAAATTAATGCTTAGACTTAGGATCTGTTATGGTTAGTGCAGTTAACCAGACAGATCCACAATCCCCTAGGAGAGGAGCCTCTGTGCATGTCACTGTGACTAGGAACATCCCATGGGCAAAGGATCCTAGGCTGTACAAAGTGAGGAAAAGAATCTGAGTGTTGAGACTGCATTCATTGCTCTGTTCCCTGACAGAGGCCCCATGTGATCAGTGGCTTTGGTCTCCTGCTTCTTCCACATTTTTTTTGCCCTGAACTGTGACCAGCATAAACTCTTCCTCCCTTTAGCTGCTTTTGTGGGGCTATTTTATCATAGCTACAGAGAAAGAAACCAAGACAGGACTTTTATTGTGAAATTTTGTTTTCTAGTTTTTCTCAGAAGCAAGCCTGTGAAACACCGGTGTATGACTTCTCCAGTTCTGAAAACATCCACTGTTGATATCGAAAGACGGATAAGTTAACACCATGCTGATTTATTTCAACAGTTGAGAGATCACAAAATTGAATTTTGTGAAAAAAATAAACCCAAACCCTGATTTATCCAGATTATTATACAAAGTATAATTTTGTTGGTAGAAGATGTCATTAGTGATTTTATCCATGATCTTTATCTAAAGGATTAGTGAGGGGAAGGCTACTAACATCTGTAGGTTTACATCAATATTTATTTTTCTTCTTGTGAGTTTAATACATTTTCAAAATAGAGGAATAATCAGATCGATGTTGCACATAAAGATATTCACAGAGGATCTGTAGCATTTGCAGTGGAAACATGGGAGTTCTCAAAAGGCTGCTAAAGCAATTGGAAAACCTTCCCATTTGATTCTCTGTACCAACAGGGCGAGCTGGAGGACAGCATGGTATGAAACAGGGAGTCATCGTTTAGCAAGGGCAGGTGGTACTGTCAGAAGGTGACTGGCACTTCTGCACCTTTTCATTTTCTCCCCTGCATATGTGGGAGGCAGGAAGTTGGCCATGGAGCTACATTGCAAGAATTTATCTAAAATATTGGAGGCAGAGAACCTCAGGTTGGAAGAGAAGTACACTAGCTCTCATGCTGCAGAGATGGCATAAGTGAATGAAATAAGGACAGACAAAGGTGCATGTAGATTTTGACTCAGAAGAAAACACATAACATTAACTAGTGAGCTGTTTTGTCTATCTCTCTATTAAGTGGCAGCCTCTCAGATGATGGGATGTGTAAATGCCTGAATTATGACTCTCTCTCTCTCTTTCTCTCTCTCTCTCTCTCTCTCTCTCCCCTTAATATCCAGGTAAAATATTCTAGCAACTGAGGTAAGCTTTTCCAAACACCTGCTGTGTATTCTCAGGAGACATAAGAGCATTTGAGCAAACTACAGAGCTTATGTTTCCTCTAAGCTCAAGACAGCATTTGGCCATGGTGGAATTTCTTTTTTCACATTTTTGTTTATTTAAATTAGAAAAAAGCTTGCTTCACATGTCAATCCCAGCTCCCTCTCCCTCCTGTCCTCCCTTGCCCTTCCACCAGACCCCTTAGCCCCCCACCCAATCCACACTCAGTTCCCCAGGGAGGGCCTTGCCTGTGGGATATCCAGAGACTGTCATTTCATTCAGGGCAGGGCATAGGCCCTCCCCGAAGAGTCCAGGCTGAGAGAACATCCCTCATTGTGGGATGGGCACCCAAAGTCCATTTGTATGCCAGGGATAATACTGATCCCAAGGTTCCATACATTTCCTAGGCCTTCTCACTGGCACCCACATTCATGGGGTCTGGATCAGTCCCATGCTGGCCTCCCAGCCACCGGTCTGGGGTCCAAGAGCTCCCCCTTGTTCAGGTCAGCTGTTTCTTTGGTTTAAACAAACCCAGTCTTGACGTCTTTGCTCATCCATGGTATAATTTCTAAGTGATGACTCCTTATGAGGGTTTTGATTCATCTACTTTGAAATAAAATCTGTAAAAACTGTGTCCTGGCTAAAGGGAAGCTGGATTAATGGGCAGCATGCTCATCATATAAGCATGAGTGCCTGAGTTCAAATTCTAAGCACCAACATAAAAAATATGTGTGGCCAAATGCTTATTTCACGCCATCACTTCTGGGTAACAGGTGGCTCTCAGTCATGTGTGGCCACATGCATCTGAGACTCCAGAACTTGTGGGTGGTGATATGTGGCTTTCTGGATATCTTAGTTGAATCAGTAAGCTGCGGTTTACTGAGAGACCTTATCTCAAAAAATAAGGTGAAAATGCATCAAGAGTGACATTTGATGCTAAATGCTGACAGTCACATGCATGTATGTGTATGGAGACACAACTTGTGCACAAGCATACACTATATACATGCAAAGCACACAGTTATATATTTTTCATTCTAATGCAGTGTGTGTGTGTGTGGGGGGGGGTATGGTTTCTCCTCACCTTTATGACACATTTGTTAAGGGTGGGTTTCAAATTTTATTTTCCCTTTCTCCTTTTAATGACCTAATTTTGGCTTTCTCCCGTCCATGATATGGGATCATTCTTATTATCCTTCATTGTCCTCTGCTGGACCAGAAATTCTGTACTTGATGAGCATTACTTCAATGCTATTCTATCAATTACGTTCAAGGACTTCAGTATTGATGATCTGATTTAACCTGAATATGCATTAGAGCAGGGGTGACAGGGAGGCGAAGACAAGAACATTGTCAAACTATCCAAAATACTTGTGCATTTCTTCTAGAATGTCAGAGTACACAGTGTACGCTATTGTTGAATTTAGGGTTTGATACATTATTTTTTGTTTTAATCTACTTTGTTTTCTTAGGTTCACAGACTTTTAAATTCTGTACATTATAATCTGTTTATCATGGAAGCATGTGTTTTTGTTACATAGATGGCACAGTCAAAATGAAAAGTGAGAGTCTCCTGAGAGTCTTTAAAAAAGTCTAAGATGAGTTAGGAATATATCTGGTAAGTGTGGTCCTGATGAGATTTACTTCTGTGTCCGAAGGTTGTGCTACTAAAGTATATTTCTATGTGCTCATGTAACATAAACCTCGCTTAGATACTACAAATGAAAATAATCCGGGTTTTGTTTTGAAATGTGCTAAGTTTTGTAGATTTTACACTTCTTGAGAAGAGAGTCCTGGAATTAGCCAGTGTTGTATCTTTCATACCCAGCAGGGTATGTAGATGGCAAATGAATACATTTACAGAGCTGAACTGATTTTTTTTTGTGTTCTCAAACTTAATGTATATCTGTCCTTTCGTGATCCCCCCCAAATTTTCCTAGTATAGTACCTAGAGTGCATCTTTGATGTTTAGAAATTCCCACATGGCTACTAAAGAAAGACGAATAAATGAGTCTCTGATGAGACATGTCAGTGACATCATGCTGGTTTGAGTAGAGCATAGCAGGCCAACAATGAAAGCCTGCATATATTTGTGGGTGGGAATGCAGGAAATAGGGATGTCTTTGGATAGGAAGTGATGCTGGAACAAAGATTTAAAAGGTGACCATGTTTACTTATGTATTATGGTGTCTGTCATTTTGAGAAGGGCAAATATAATATCTGAGACATAGCTCAAAAGGAGTCTTATAGGAAAAATAAAATAATACTTGTGTATTTCACCCACAATACTCAATACCTCCATATGTATGGGAATTTCTCCCATACCAACTAATTCTTTAATATAAGTTAGGTGTCCTGTTACACATTTTAATTATAATACTAAGTACTTAGAAAAACAAAACAAAACACCCACAATACATGTATAGTGTCACTAGACTGGCGTCCTATTTCAAATGGCAGATACATTAACTATGTTTTTGACTTAGATCTCCACAATCATTGATTAGATTAATTCGCTAGAATGACATCTAGGCTTGAGGAGATATTTAAATATTCACCAGTTTAGTATTTACTCATGAAGAGCACAATGAAGAGGCACTTCTGCAAGGACCCTAAGCAGATGAGCTTCTGTCTCCATGGCTTTGTGGAGCATTAGTCACTTGGCATTTACATGTCTACCTACTTCTCCATCTTTATTTGTTAGAGATTTTTATAGAGCTGCCATCACAAGATAGTGATTGCTTACTAACTCATTCTACAGTTCCTTTTCTGATCCAAGGGCTGGGAGCTGGGACTAAAAGGCACAAAACTGAAGTCTTGGCCCATTCTTTCTGGAGAATAAGCCTCATTCTAGATCTATTCAAGTTAGAATCCCCACATTAGAAAGAACGTCCCTTACTTAGACCTAAGAGGCTCTGTTTCAAGAACTCTGGGACAAATTTTTAAAATTATGTCATAATAACAATGAGCAATGAATAATACTTCCCAATGCACAGAGAATGACATACAAAGCAACAAGTCCCCACTTTCAAGACCTGCTATTACTGTTCTCTGACTGAATTTTAGGGAATAAAAATAGTTACACTGAGATACAAATCTGAGACATAGATGTACACCAGACTAAGACTCTTGTCGCTCAAACGAACAAAATTCCATATCATTAATGCATTCTTTATGTCTTCTGTCTTTAACTGAGTTGGTGTATTAGACTATAACATCCTTTGTAACTTTTACCACCCCTTTAATTTTATTATCACTGTTACTATCACTATACACATTCACTCTCTTGTTCAGGAAGCATTTCATAGTGCCTTTTAGTCAGCAAGTACTATTCTAGGATACAGGAATACAGTGGGGAAAAGATAAATAAACTAAGGTCTCCATTAAGTCTACTGTAGTAGGGAGGTAATTAGTATATGATTTATAGCTAACAATTTCATGAAGTGATATAATTGTAGCTTTTATAAGTCATCACCTGTGCACAGATGGCTTTCAATCAACTTCTCTAAAGGTAACCGACCCGTCACCCATATTCTTGTAAACCTATAAGTAGTCCCAATAACTCATTCACTCACAAAGATTCTTTTTGGTGGCATTGTTAGCATGGTCTGTCATTGGTTCATTCTTTGGAGTAAGTAGATTT